ACTGCGCGGGAGGAGGGGGAGGCTGGGCCGGACGGAGTGGCCCGGAGACAGAGCGGAGGGGGAGGTGTGCCCGGACTGGGACCAGGGACAGACTCCAGCCCCGAGCAATGTGCGCGAAGCGGGCAGAGAGTGCTAGAGGCAGACGGACAGACAGCTGGACCCAGAACTCAGAACAGGCCCGCCGCAGCCCAGCACTCAGTGAACAAATGAAAACGTCAAAAGGCAGGGGCTGGAGCCCTGGCCGGTGTAGCTCAGTGGATAGAGCGTGGACCTGCGGACTGAGGGGCGTGCAGGAGGCAGCCGATCAATGGTTCTCTCTCATCATTGATGTTTCTCTCTCTCTCTCCCTCTCCCTTCCTCACTGTTTGTTAAGGCCAGTGATGGAGACACCTGGAGAAGCAGGTGGAAGGGGAGGCAGGAGGCAGGACATGGGGGTCAGAGGCTCGGAGGGAAGCGGCTGGGTGGCCAGTGGCACAGCTGGAGGTGCAGGGACTGAAAGCAGCGGGGACAGTGGCCGGGTCTCCTGAGCCTGCTGAGGGTTCCCTCCTTCCCGGAGGCCCCGAGAAGGCTCGCAGAGCCCCAGGCAGCCCCTTCCGTGGTCCCTGGCCTGCCCCCCTGGTAGGCAAAGGATGGGCAGGCAGAGGACAGGGGCCTAGTCGGCGTCAGGGCTGGGCACATGCTTCCAGGTCTGTGGCCTCGGGCAGCCAGTTGCAGTTGAAGGGCCAGGGGGTGCCCAGCAGTGCCAGGCCAGACTGGCACCGGTGCTCCGCCTCCTGGCAGACAGAGCGGCAAGGGGGGAGCACGCTGCCGAGTGGGGTGCAGCGGGGCACCAGCAGCCCGCAGAGGAGCCTCCGGAAGCTCGGGTAGCAGGGAAGGTGGGCCAGGCTCTGTGGGAGGAGGTCAGCCCTCAGGCTCCCACATCCCAGCTCCCCTCCCATCGCGGGGATCCCTCCTTATCACTTCCCAGGGCACCTTGTATGCTCTGAGCACCTCCGTCACCTCCTCCTGGGTGGCCATGCCAATCCAGATGTTCGGGAAGGCTGTGGCGTTGTAGCTGAGCCCCAGGCACATCTCCACTCGGACGGGCTCACAGGCCAGCTCTGCAGGGGCAGGAGGGGTCACTGTGGGGTCCACTCACGGCTGGTGGACGGGGGCACATTGCCCAATCACTCTACAAGGGTCCAGAGGGAGTTGTGAGCATCAAAGGAGATAAAACAGAGGGAGAGACGCTTTACATATCCTGAGCCTCTCTAGCGCCATGGGCCAGCCCTGGGCACCAGGCAGGTACCTTTTCTGAAAAATTATATATATATACTAGAGGCCTGGTCCACAAAAATTTGTGCACTCGGGGGAGGGGGGGGAGGGTCCCTCAGCCCGGCCTATGCCCTCTTGCAGTCTGGGACCCCTCAGAGGATGTCTACCTGCTGGCTTAGGCCCGCTCCCTGGGGGATCGGGCCCAAGCTGGCAGTCAGACATCCCTCTGGCAGCCCGGCAGCCCT